TTCTTTCTGCACATGTTGGCACATTCTATACTTTCGACTACAATACTTGCTATTCCTATTGCTTTATAACACAGTCTGTTTGAGAGTTGTCTATTTAGTTTAGGTAATTGCAATTTGTCTTAAATTATGGGCAACTGGCAGTAAGGGACAAAGGGCCATACTGGACCCTAACTACCTAAGGCAAAGTCCCTTGAAGTGTGTCGGTTTGGTTAGGCCTGTAAGTAAAGATGGCCTACCGGAAGAATAATATTATAAATTGAAAGGGTAAGGAACGCGGAGTTTAATCTAGAATACCTGCAATCTCGAGTTACAAGCCACGGGTATTTTTAAATGCTGACTAATCTATCCCACAACTACATGCCTGAACATTTGTGGTCGTGGACAAAGAGCCATACTTGACCACAACTACCTAAGGCTAAGTCGGTTGAGATGTGCTGGAACCAAAGATTGGGCTTGGTCTGTAAATAAAAACTATATTTATCTATATATCTATATACAGTTGTCATCACAACTATTCTACTGCCATTGAAAATCAGGTTTATTGTAAATATTTACAGACGTTCCACTGTTTTCAATGAATAAGTCAAACAAAAGCAATTGAAAAAGCTCAACACAAAGACTGCTTCAAGTGGTTTCCTCAAACTCATCTGCAAATGTAATGACTTCTCCAGTCTCAAAATTATTCAACCCCTTCATGGCAAGCATCTTAAGTACTTCGTAGAGCACCCTTTTGCTGTTATGACCTGCTGCAAATGAGATGCATGAGGAATCTTGAGCAATTGCCTCCAGTTCAGTAATATTCTTGGATTTGGGGGCTGCAACCGCCTTTTTCAAATACAACCAGAGATTTTCTATGGGTTCAAGACTGTGATGGCCACTGTAGCATTTTCCAGGATTTCTTCTGCAACCAAGCCTTGGTGAAATTTAAGGTATGCTTGGGATCATTATCCATGCTTCAGCTTCTTAACAGATGGCACGTTTTCTCCTAGGATTTCCTGATACTTCAATGAATCCATCTTGCCTTCCACATGGTGTAGGTTTCAAGTGCTAGTCAATGCAAAGCAGCCCCAGAGGATCACCTTTCCACCACTATGTTTAACTGTTGAAAAAGTGTTCTTTTCAGCATTCGCTTCATACTTCTTCTTCTAAACATACCACTGATCTATCTGGCCCAAAAGTTCCAGTTTTGTTTCATCGCTCCGCAGGACAGAATCCTAAAACCTCTGTGGCTTATTTATATGATTTTGAGGATATTGGAGTTGACTTTTCTTTTTGGTTTTGGCTTTTGGGTCAGTAGTGGTATACGTCTTGGAGTTCTGGCATGGAAACCTTCTGCGTTTAGTACGCACCTTACTGTACTCACTGAAACCTCAGTACCTGTTGCCACCAAATCTTTCTACAGGTCTTTTGCAGTCACTCAAGGGTTTATCTCAACCTGCCTGAAACCTGGTTGTAGCCATTGATAGCTTCCTTTTTCTGCCCCATCCAGATAGTGTAACCACTGTTCCTTCAACTTTGAACTTGCAAACGGTTATGCTTCCACCGATGTCTCTAGGTACATTCAATGCCTTTGTTATATTTTTGTATCCTGTTCCTTGTTTGCGAACAACTTTCACAAACTCTCTTAACTTTGTGGACCATTCGTTTGACTTAGCCATATTTCTAACTTGCAGTCAAACGTGACACTCAACAAACCCCTAGCCAGTTTTGGTATTTCAAGTGTTCCAGCTCAAGCACACCTGGTGCAATTAATGAAACCCTTGATTGGTTGCATCAGGTGTGCTAGAGACAACACCTGTTTTGCATATCTGTGCTGTTGACTGTTGTAAGGGATTCTATTGAGGGGGTTGAATAATTTTGAGACTGGAGAGGTCATTATAAGTTGCATTTCTGGTTTAATTTGGGGAAACCTCTTGAAGCAATTGATCTGTTTATTGCAAACATCTGAAGGTCTATACATTTTGACAATAAACCAGATTTTCAATGAGGGTTAAATAATTTGGGTTACAACTGTATTACATATTTATCCAATGTGTACCTGTAGATTTTTTACAGCCCACCTTTTCCCCTCTATTGATTACTTCTCCATTGATCTGTAAACCACACGGCATTAAAATGCACCTGTTAGTGCACTGCAACATGTATACATAACATTTATATTTTGACTAGTCGATTTTTGTGCCATTTTGGTTCATCCAAATTGTTTTCCTGATTGCATGAACTAAAGTAGTCTGAACTGAAAAGCCACATGAACAAATCCTGAATCGGCCGAAACGAACATTTTGTTCAGATGAAGCAGGTTTTTTGCACCGCACCCAAGTACAGTCTGTTCACCGTCACATCAGGTGAAACAAAGATGGTATATCCCTTTATTGTCACTTCATGCAGCTCTGTTTGTTGATTGTATTTTACGATATTTGTCCTCACATTCTTCAAGCCTTAAAATAGAATATGCTGTTTAATGAATTCTGGTCTCAGACCAGTTTCTATGTACATCTGCTGTTGAAGTTATTTTTAGTTTGTTGTTTTTTTGTTTATTTTTGCACGTGAATAGTTTTCTTATTCTTTACAGTACATGTATAAAAGAAATCTCTAATGAAAAATGAATGAAAAATTAAAAACTTTCCATTTTTTTACCTGCAAAGAAAGGGTCAAGTTTCCTACCCTAATATTTTTTTAAAAATGTACAAATTCCATTCATAAAGAAAACAATGTGGGGGTAGGGCCTGAACCTCATGGTGGCTGGTCGCGTCATACAGGCTCTTTTCACTGAGCCCATACTTTCATTGTTTAGCTAAGTTTCCTAACGCATACAGTCGATGAAGTTCAAGTCTTACCGGCTAGTGACACCGATGGTAGCAATCTGGACTGGTTCCTGGTGGTGCAACCTATCAAAAACACAGTAGAGCTGTCGGGGCCTGTTGCAGACACTGGGAGAAGCAGACAATATCCTGACCCCCCATCTCTTCATTGCTCTGTAGAGTTCTGTTGTGTCCTGTTCCTTGCCTTCTGGGCCAGTGGGGTACTAATTGACAGCAAGCAATGGTCACATGCTTCACTACCCCACCTGGGCTAAAGGCCACCTCCCTTGCATTGACCACATTGGCTGAGCAATCCACGTACAAAGCAACGACAGATCATACTGATTCTCTGCTATCCCATCGATGGGAAGGACTTTGTAAGTTCTTAAGTCTGTGGCTCACTGATGCAGGCCTACAGACCTGGAGCTACTGAGAAGCCTGGCCTCATCCCTGCGCAAATGAAGCCATCAACTCTCCTCTCCAAACATCGAGTACGGGCAAAGGATTATCCGAGTCTCCATCCAGTATACAGCCCTGTTACCAATGGCTGACTATATGTTAGATTGTGTGGGAGACAACAACTGATAAGCCTGGCCTCATCCCTGCGCAAGTGAAGCCATCAACTCTCCTCTCCAAACATCGAGTACGGGCAAAGGATTATCCGAGTCTCCATCCAGTATACAGCCCTGTTACCAATGGCTGACTATACGTTAGATTGTGTGGGAGACAACATCTACCTGTTACGCACTCAGCATCATTCCTAGTTTTTGTTTTATTCCTATTTGAGTCATTGGGCCTAAATTCCACTGCAGGTTATGTATACTTTAATATACCGTTACTAAGATTGCTGATATTGATTATATAAGTGAATGTGCAATAGAGTGATTTTGTTTTTTGTATGTATTTTAATTCTGTTAAACATGTAGATATATAGCTATTTTTTCTGTATGGAAATAAGCTAATCGTTTTGATTACAAAGTAATGTATGTATTGATGTATAAAGAGAAATATTTGAAAAATAAAATATATATATAAAAAAAGTATTTCTGATATTTGTTTGTACTGCTGTACAAGGGGCACCAGCGTTCCAGCTATTGACTGAACTTCTATGTCTACACAGTACCCATTTTATAGCAGTAGAGGGAGGCAAGTTTCATTATTCCTGCTATTCCTATGCGGATGTACCCAGTGAGATTGTAGTTACATTTTTTTTATTTTTTTTCCTGAGGTGTCCCTGGTTTCCACCTTCATGAAAGTGAACGTTTTTGATATACGTCTATTTATGCCCACAGAATAATGTGCTAATTTTCCCTACCCTCTTGCTACCAGCAGACTCCCTATTGTGCTGTGCTGTGCTGTAATGCATATCATGGTCTGATAGCTAGCTCTGTGCCTTGCTTTCAATTTAGAGTCAGGTTACACTCTTAGTTCCCAGCTAATCCCTATTCTAGATATATTGCTGTGTATATTGACCACAATATGGGCCCTCGCTCACAGTCATCTGTAGGTCTCCCTGGTCCATAACCAACTAACTCCTGAAGTACTATGGCCACATCACTGTAAATTTAAACCCCCTGCTCTACTATTCTTGGGAATAATGTAGGCATCTTTAATTAATTGAGGTTTGCACAATGTCTTGCTATATTCATTGTCGCTGTTTACAGCTTAGTTTCCTATTATTTGTGTTTGTGAATTTTGGTTCCATACACTGTCCTCATGCTGTCATAATCTATGAGACATATTCTGTTATCCCGTGCTATACCATCCTCTGCCTTCCATTTACACCTATGTTTAATATTGTTGTACAATTTACCTTATTGTCTACATAGCAAAAATTAATGTTGGTCTACAAAGGACGTGCTTTCTCATGCAGTGAAATGTTTGACTGACAATCAGACAGCACAGAATGCCCACGTTTAGGTTGTCTGTGTTAAAGTTTTCTCCAATTGCGTTGAACCCCTTCTCCTCCAAGGAGGAGCTGAGAATGCTCTGAGGCTCTGCGGGTTCACCAGTTCGCAGGTAAGATTAACTAACAGTGACTAGGCTCCAGTCAGCAGCGTAATCTTCTGCGATGAAACATGCCAATATTTACCATTAACTTAACAGGACACATAGACGGCAGCACAGGAATTGTTGGTGAAAAACTTTTTTTTTTAATCGCAGTACCGCACATACATTTGTAATTAAAAATAGCTTTGAACAGAACAGCATTTTTCCCCTTCCCAATAAACAAAGAACAAAGCAACACATATCATTTTAATATGCTTTATGGGAGTCAAGCCCTTTCAGAATTCTACATTTAAAAAAATAAATAAAAAAAAATGGGAAACAAATTAAGGACTGTACATGAGATTCTCCCAACTGCACCAGGTTGGTGCCACAAAACTAACATTACTGGGCGGCAAACGGCTATAAAACAATTTAACATCGAAATTAAACATTTATTAACCCTTTCAGGAATTGGCAAAGCATTAATACAGGGTAATGCAGTCTGAAACAGATATCTTGCCATAAACACTAGCGGTACAAAAATATTAATATGCCGAGAAGATGCGGCAGGTTATCGTGATTTAATGGGGTTATTTCTAATGTCAGCCCCATCATTGGAAGTCCTTGTAAGCTCAGGGGAAAAGGATGTAATTAATTATGGATGAAAACATACAAAAACGAACAAAAAACAAACAGAAGTTGAATTCTGAATTAGTTTTTTTTTCTAAGATATGCTACGTCATTTTTACAGCTGGCAAGCAATGTAAGGATGAAGGCAATGGGTAGCACTTTCAAATCCTAAAACCGTCTTGTGAATGAGAGACTGACTTTACTTTGTGTGAGAGCATTAAGGGACATTTGTTTTCCCCCAAAACAAAGACAAGTCCATGTATTTACAGCACATAGGAAGGAGCACTCACTAGAAGAGAATCAATTCATTAAAGAGTCGCTCTAAGCACCATAATCACTACAGCTTAATCAAATACTTTCTTATGGTGTAATAAGGCTAGGAGCAGTATGATAAGACTATTAGCCCTGTTTGTGTTTATCTAAATCCATCCACTTTGAGACTGTTTAACAAAAAAATATCAGGCAGTCCCTCCAAAAGATTTCTTTTAATAATTAATAATTTTTATAGATTCTTTTTGTTTATATATATATATATTTTATGGGAAAATAACAAGGGAAAGGGGAACAAGACAAGAAAGGGGGTAAACTGGGGCAAGACTCCAAAAGATTTCTAACACAATAAGAGCTGTAGTGGTTATAGAGTTTAAAGTGCCCCTTTAATATTTTAAATTTAAAGGGACACTATAGTCACCTGAACAACTTTAGCTTAATGAAGCAGTTTGGGTGTATAGAACATGCCCCTGCAGCCTCACTGTTCAATCCTCTGTCATTTAGGAGTTAAATCCCTTTGTTTATGAACCCTGGTCACACCTCCCTGCATGTGACTTGCACAGCCTTCCATAAACACTTCCTGTAAAGAGAGCCCTATTTAGGCTTTCTTTATTGCAAGTTCTGTTTAATTAAGATTTTCTTATCCCCTGCTATGTTAATAGCTTGCTAGACCATGCAAGAGCCTCCTGTATGTGATTAAAGTTCAATTTAGAGATTGAGATACAATTATTTAAGGTAAATTACATCTGTTTGAAAGTGAAACTAGTTTTTTTTTCATGCAGGCTCTGTCAATCATAGCCAGGGGAGGTGTGGCTAGGGCTGCATAAACAGAAACAAAGTGATTTAACTCCTAAATGACAGTGAATTGAGCAGTGAAATTGCAGGGGAATGATCTATACACTAAAACTGCTTTATTTAGCAAAAGTAATTTAGGTGACTATAGTGTTCCTTTAATAATTACCTTAACATGACTTATAAATATGTTAACATGAGTGTTTTTTACTTGAAATTGTCATTATGTGAACAAGTTTGAAACTGATTTTTGAAACAAAAAAATGGAGTTTAATCTCAAAATGCACCCAGCACATAACTGTTAGTATGTAATCTGTTACTATGTAGTCTTTGTTCATCCTTATTATTAAAAATAAATACAAAGTGCTTCATTTGTTTTAAGAAAATCTGCTGTTTGTGCTATACTAATCAGTTGCAATTGTTTTTATAAGTAATGGGTTGACTTTAAGTATTGTAACCAATACATTTATGCAAAATTATGCTATAAATAAGTAACAATGACTTTCTAAAGAAATATTTTTGGTGCCATTATTTGCTTTGCTGGAGTTAGTATTTCTCATAAAATGTGGAACTATGACATTTTAGCAATACCTTTACTTGCTGTATGACCCCCCCGTACCCTAAATGTCCACCATACTTGCCCACAGTTCCAGACCCTTAGCCAGCAAATTAATGCACATAACCTCCACCTTGAAGGCCCTTTACCATGCTGTCCAATTGTTCCTCAACTCACCTCAGTGATGTCACCAATTTCCTCCACCAGCTTCTATTCTCAATCTTTTATCCATGTAATGATACAAACATCATCCAGGCGGTGTGTGACCCTAAATTTTCCCATTTAATCAGTATATCACACACAATATTTCAACCTCACATCCTGTTAGCCAATAATTTCCTGTTCTTGTACCAAAGACAGTTAATGATCACCAGTTTCCCCCAAAGGGAGTCAATGATTCTCACTGACCTCAAAAACTCATCCCCATCTCCATCCATCCCTGTGTCTTAATTTTCCTTCTAATACAGATTAGACCCGCTCATGTAACTCTTCGTAGATCAGTAGCACTGTACTAGTGAATCATTTTTTGAGAGGAAAACTGAGGGTGGCTACCTTAAGCCCCCCAAAAGTCTTAAATTTCCTAATGCCCCATCTACCACTTGTATAGATCCAGGGCTATAAGACCCCACATAGAAGCTTCTGCCCCTAAAGCCCACCATAACAACAGCTCTGCATCTGTCCTGACTCTTTGCTGATCCTAGCAAACATATTTAGACTTATTTAGAATTCTGTGCATATAATTTAGAAGCATCTACACATATCAGGAAATAGGAAATGGGGGGGAGTGGAGGTGGCTAGAAAAGTGATCTTAAAATAGGGCAGTGGGTTGGGGAAACAGGGAAAGGAACGTTTATTATGGGCACTTATTATGTCTGTATCAAAAAGTGTATGTAATCAACCAGAGACTCTTTTTTACTATTGAATTTGTCTTGAAGCTGTTTAGTCTCTTCCTGTTACAAGTTGTGAAAATTAAACTGCATTGTAATTATTTATACCCTCTTCTGTTAACTACTGACTGACATATATTTACATCTTTCTTATTCTTTTTCTCATAGAAAATATAACTCCAACATTAGTATAAACTTATAAAGTATCAATTTAGAAAGAAATGCTCTTAGTTCTCAGTTTTAAATCATTGAATGCCCAGGGGCCTATCAACCAAAATATACTTTATATTATTATAGCCATCATTAAAATGTTACACCTGGGATCTTGCATTAGCCAAAAGTTAGCTAAGGGATGCACTACTGTTTTTTTTTTGTTTTTTTTACTCTAATAGATGTTTTATCATTTAGATCATATGTCTAGCTATCTTGGCATAACCACACTTTACCAAGTGAATGAATTTAAACTCACAATGCATGCGCACATCCAGCACCATGGGAGGAATGTCAGAACATGCATTCTCGCACACAGAATTGTTCAGAAGCTAAGTGAGCACAAACAAGTGCACACAGAGCATTATGGGGCAATGGTGGTGCCCTGGACACAGAAGTACTTTGAAGGTGTGTTCTATAGCTTTGCTGCAGTATTTACACCAACAGTGTTAAGTTGGGTGAGGGAATGATAAACCATCCATTTCAGAGAAATAACTATTGCCACTTTATGCACTGGCAGCTGTTTACTAAATTGGAAACCAGAAGCAGTGCTCGTAGACTCAGAAAGTTCACACGTCTGATGTTTTTATTTGATTGATATTTAAAGATTTAGACATGGGCTCAAGCTCTTCAAACACCATTCTTGACTTTGATGTAGAATGCATTTGACTTGTCTAATAAAGATGATGTTGTTACAATAACTGAAAGGTCTGTCAGTCCAAGAACTGCTACAAAACTGGACGCAGAGTATAAACAGGATGGCATTTGAATAAGACACCAAGAAATAATTAAAGGAACACTATAATTAAAAGAAGAAGGAAAAAAAAGAGAAAAAAAACTATTTTTTAAAAAAAATAAGACATTTCATTGTTTTATTTTAGATTATAGGATCCCCTCGTTTAAACCCCACCCTTGCTGCAAAACTTACATCTAATCCAATGCTGGAATAGTTACCTTAATGTAGCCTGATCCAGCCCATTGTGAAGTCATCAATCCTGATGACATTTGTCCAATCAGAGGCTTCTCATAGAAGTACTGAGGACACACAGAACTTGTGCACCAATCCAGTGCTTCGATATGAGAAGCATTAAAGGCTAGTGTCCACTATCAAAACACTTTGCATTCTGTTGTCAGATGTCGGGTTAGTAAACTGGTTAGTTGATTGGTGAATCTACTGTATTTAAGTCTGGAGATGCTAATAGGACTTCAATCTGCAAAATGTAGAGTGCCATTTTTCAGAAAATACACTGTTTTCATGGGCAAGACTGTAGAGGCAGCATCTGTGCCCCAAAATCACTTTGTTAAGTTGATTTTGATTATCAGACTGTCCCTTTAACTGAATTCATAAACTGTATAAAGAAATGCTTCTCTCAAACAATGTCAGGAAATGCTTCTCTAATTGCATTATAATATAACTCTTCAATGTTTTTGCTCTGAAGAATTGTTCAGAATGACTCAGAAAGAGCATAAATAAAAAGTCACTGATGACGTCAAAAAACTCAGTTTTCCTTTAAGTGCTGTTTAAAGCGTAGAAATATATTAAAGATTCCAAATGTTCAGAAATATTCCAAGTTCCAACGTGATATCCTCAATTGTCTATTCAATGTTGCCCTTATCTAGACTGAAAAAAAGTCAACTGTTTCCTTATTTTTTTGTATGGTGGGTAGCTCATGTTTGCTGAGGTAGGTAAGAAATTTCTTCCATACAGATATAGAAATCTCTGGTGTTTCTGGGTGCCTGCTCTTGTACTGAGGACGGTGAGAGATCCGGATTTGGTGTCATTTCATTCACATTGTGACTGATGCAGTTGATGTCACTCTTGTTGCTGTTGACATCTTGACTTGAACTGAAGATCCAATCTGCATTGAGAGAAACGACACGAGTCAGTTCCATGTTAACATATATAATATTTACATAGGATTCTTGCAACTTTAAAATATTACCTGGGGTTTAAGCCTACAAAACCTCAAAGACCCATCCTCAAGGTTGCCCCTTGTTTCTTCTCAACTATTGCTCTTAAAGCGGCTCTGTCACCCCCAACGGCCCCAAAACAAAATCTCTATTTTGGAATTTCACTGACTACTTTGTCTTATGTCATTTTTCAAACATTGTCAAGCTTTGTCAAGCCATCAGCTGTCACTAGTGGTGGCTGTGAAGAAAGAGAAATTGTTCATGAAAGTTTCCATGATCTCGTGGGATCCTTCATAGACATCACATGAGAATGCTGCACTGAGGCGGGCTCCTTGCAGATGAAGTGCCAAGAGCTGGAGAATCCTACTGTCGCCATTGGGGGTATTTGCAAGCTATACTTTAACACATCAGCTCACACTGGGGGGACCAGCTACTCACACTGCGGAGGTACCACAGCGGCTCACACTGGGGAACACAGCTTGGCCGCAGAACACAGCAGCAGCTCACACTGGGAACACGCGGCCAGCTCACACACTGGGGAGGTGGCAATGCGCGTTTGGGGAGGGCACAGCATCACACTGGAGGGGACACAGCAGCTCACGCTGGAGACAGCAGCTCACGTTGGGGGGAGGCAGCCAGCTCACACTTTGGGGGACACAGCAGCTCACACTGGGGGAACAGCAGCTCACGTTAGGGGGAGGGAGCACAGCAGCTCACACTGGGGGACACAGCAGCTGGGGGCATGGCAGCTCACACTGGGGATAACACAGCAGCTCACACTGGGGAGAACACAGCAGCTCACACTGAGGGGAACACAGCAGCTCACACTGGGGGGAACACAGCAGCTCACACTGGGGAGAACACAGCAGCTCACACTCGGAGGGAATACAGCAGCTCACACGGGAATGAACACAGCAGCTCACACTGGGGGGAACACAGCAGCTCACACTGGTGGAAACACATCAGCGTATACTGGGGAAACACACAGCTCACACTGGTGGGAGGACAATTAGTCAGCAACAGATATATTAAAATAGCCAAATTGTAAAAAAAGAGTCGGCTGGACTGTCAATTCTGCTACTCTGGCCTTTGATTTGAAATTTACTTATAATTTTAACTTTAGTGAATAACCCTGATAGATTACCACAAAGCAGTTAATGTGAATGTCTGTCAGATATGGTAAACACTTTTAACAAGGTATTTAAAGATGTCATACTTTGAATTGTTACAAAATATATGCCTTCACTCACAGTACATTGCGGATAATGCCACTAATTAATTCACCTTTCATTAAGAACTGTCAAATTAATGTCGCTTCTTTCATATGAATAAAGGCTAAGCTGTCTCCAGGCAGACCGTGATCTTCTTCAACTGAACTGCAGGTAGGTGTCCAAACAATATTAAGGGTAATTGCTTTTTCCCATTGACCTAGCAATGTGCGGGGACCGTGAATGAAGCAGATTGAGGGATACCCGGCCCTCATTGCTTTGCCAAGATGCTTCATTGCTCCTGCTGGCTGAGTCGAGGTGAAAGTGAGAGAATCGGGGAAAACAAAATATTGGATTTTAGAACGGCCGATTAGGAGGAATGGTAGGCCATTCTTCATCGCTAAAGAACCCTTAACCTGTTCATTACCAGCGACATGTCAGGGATTTATCTAATCATTCTGAAGGGGTTCACTATCCTACTATGAAATATGACATGGCAGAAACATATTTTTTTTTTACATTTTGTTAGCCCTTATAAAAACCAAAACACGACGAATGAGGGAAAGTCAGGCAGAGTCCTGCAGGGAGAGCTGGCAAGACAGTATTTTTTAAATATCTCCAGAATCCCGAGACACCAATAATTTCACATAACACGTGTTTTGCTATAATTTATCTTTTATTTTACACAATAGTTTTAGGTTAGAGTTACTTGTTAGTGCAGTGTAGGAGTCCGTGTTTAATGATTGTGTTAATGTTGGGGTTAATGTTTCAGTGATAGTGTAATAAATAGATTTGTGCACAGTGAGAAATGTTCATTCTATCAGATCACTTTTTCAGGAGACAGAAAATTTAGCAGGATGCTCCAATGTCAGTTCAGGAACCGAATCAGGTGAAAAAAAACCCAAAAGGTGTGAAAGTGGACCATTCACTATGCACTTGTAGGAGCATTTTCCTACTTGGCTACTGAACAATAATTCTTTTCCCTATTATTTATCTTTTTTTCTTTTTGGAGCCATGGGCAGAATTCATAATAATGATGCAACACCTTCACCCAAAAATATCTGTGATCACCTAATCATTGATCCAAACAGTTAGACCAGTGGTAGTCAACCTTTTTTTACCTACCGCCCACTAGTGCATCTTTTTGGTTGAAAAAAATTTCCTTACCGCCCACCAGTTTTTGCGCAAGTGCGGAATATTTTTTAGAAAGGAGGGTGTTTTAAAAATAAATAAATGTACGTACATTTATCTTTTTATTTTTTACTTAATGCATGTTTATAATGTTTTTAACTTTATAAAGTTTAATGAGAAAACAATAAAGTAAATTGAAATTACCTATACTAGTGATTAGTGAGATCCTTGAGGTTGATACTGCGAGACTAAATATTTGATATCTGGTTCAATTTTCGTAAGGAACAAACGAAGGTCTCCTCTTTCGGTGATATTCAGACGACTTCTCTGTTTGCGCATGACATGATTTCTCATCTGTGCGTCAGCTCCCCCCCTCTCCCTCCTCAATTCCCTTCCCCACCTTTTTTTTCCCTTTTTAAATTTTTTTTTTTAACCTTCCTTATAGCAATGCCCAGTAGGAAGGCTGAGCTAGGTATCCCACTTACTATATCTCACTATAACAGACAGGCACACATACATACAGACACACACACAAGACACACATACACACAAACAGACACACACACACACACACACACACAAGACACACATACATACAGACAGACAGGCACACATATACATACAGACAGACAGGCACACATACGGACACACACACACACACACACACAAGACACATACATACAAACAGACAGGCACACATACATACAGACACACACACACACACAGACATGCATACAGACACACACATACAAAGACACACACATAAGACATACATACAAAGACACATACACACATACAGACAGACACAAGGCACACATACATACGACACACATACATACAAAGACACATACACACACAACACATACATACAAAGACAAGACACACATATATACACACATATATACAGACAGACACACACATACACACACGACACATACAAAGACACACACATACATACAAAGACACATACATAAGACACACATACATACACACACATACAGACACATAAATACAGACAGACACACACAAGACATACATACAAAGACACATACACAAACAAACACACACAAAATATTTTAGTCACCCTCCTGTTTCCTACATTTTCGGTGCAGGAGGGTGACTTTCCCTGGGGTACAGTGGTGGCTCAGGTGGATGGGAGTCAGAGTTCCCACTCTGACTCCCTCGTCTTCCTTCCGCGCCGCTCTCAGTGTTAGCTGGGAGGAGTGACGTGTAGTCACTTCCTCCCAGCTCTGTGATGTAATCACAGGGGGCCCGGTCGCGCTGTTAAAGCGCCCAGCGCTGACCGGACCCCCTTACAATCCACATCCATCGGGTGGCCCTGACAGCATGGGCCACCCGATGGACCCCTCCATATGCGGACCCAGCGGTTTGCCGCGCTGGCCGGGGCCGCAAGTGGTGATGGCGGTACCTGGTCGCAGGGGTACCGCCGGCTCGCACCCACCCGCAATCTCGCAAAAAAATTAGAAAATCCCTACCGCCCACCTGGAATCCTGAAACGCCCACTAGTGGGCGGTAGGGACCAGGTTGACGGCCCATGAGTTAGACAGACCAACTACTGTCTGTAGAGTACTCAGGGAACACAACAGCTCACACTGGGAGAACACAGCAGCTCACACTGGGGGGAGCACAGAAGCTCACACTGGGGGTAACACAGCAGCTCACACTGGGGGTAAAACAGCAGCTCACACTGGAGGGAGCACAGCAGCTCACACTAGGGGGAACACAGCAGCTCACACTGGGCGGGACACAGCAGCTCACACTGGGGGGGAACACAGCAGCTCACACTGCGGGAACACAACAGCTCACACTGGGAGAACACAGCAGCTCACACTGGGGTAACACAGCAGCTCACACTGGAGGGAAAAAAACAGCTCACACTCGGGGGGACACAGCAGCTCACACTGGGGGGAAAACACAGCAGTTCACACTGGAGGGAACACAGCAGCTCACACTGGAGGAAACACAGCAACTCACACTGGGAAAACACAGCAGTTCACACTGGAGGGAACAGCAGCTCACACAGGAGGAACACAGCAGCTCACACTTCGGGAGGACGAAGCAGCTCACACTGGGGGGAACACAGCAGCTCACACTGGGGGAACACAGCAGCTCACACTGGGGGAACACAGCAGCTCATACCGGGGTGAACACAGCAGCTCACACTGGAGGGAACACAGCAGCTCACACTGGGGGAACACAGCAGCTCACACTGGAGGGAACACAGCAGCTCACACTGGAGGGAATACAGCAGCTCACACTGGGAGAGGGAACATGACAACTCACACTGGGGGGAGCACAGCAGCTCACACTGGAGGTAATACAGCAGCTCACACTAGGGGGAACATAGCAGCTCACACTGGAGGGAACACAGCAGCTCACACTGGGGGGAACACAGCAGCTCACACTGGGGGGAACACAGCAGCTCACACTGGAGGGAACACAGCCGCTCACACTGGAGGGAACACAGCAGCTCACACTGGGGGGAACACAGCAGCTCACACTGGAGGGGACACAGCAGCTCACATTGGGGGTAACACAGTATCTCACACAGTAGGGCACAGCAGCTCACACGGGACGGAACACAGCAGCTCACACGGGACGGAACACAGCAGCTCACACTGGGGGGAACACAGCAGCTCAAACTGGAGGGAACACAGCAGCTCACACTGGAACATAGCAGCTCACACTGGGGGGGAAACACAGCATCTCACACTCACACTGGAGGGAACATAGCAGCTCACACTGGGGGGGAAACACAGCATCTCACACTGGGGGGAACACAGCAGCTCACTCTGGGGGGGAAATAGCAGCTCAAACTAGGGGTAACACAGTATCTCACACCGCGGGGTAACACAGCAGCTCACACTGGGGGGGAACACAGCAGCTCACACTGGGGGAAACACAGCAGCTCACACTGGGGGGAACACAGCAGCTCACACTGGGGGAAACACAGCAGCTCACACTGGGAGGGACACAGCGGCTCACACTGAGGGGAACACAGCAGCTCACACTGGGGGGAACACAGCAGCTCACACTGGGGGGGACACAGCAGCTCACACGGGAGGGAACACAGCAGCTCACACTGGGGGGAACACAGCAGCTCACACTGGAGGGAACACAGCAGCTCACACTGGGGGGAACACAGCAGCTCACACTGGGGGGAACACAGCAGCTCACACTGGGGGGAACACAGCAGCTCACACTGGAGGGAACACAGCAGCTCACACTGGGGGGAACACAGCAGCTCACACTGGAGGGAACACAGCAGCTCACACTGGAGGGAACACAGCAGCTCACACTGGAGGGAACACAGCAGCTCAAACTGGAGGGAACACAGCAGCTCACACTAGAGGGAACACAGCAGCTCACACTGGAGGGAACACAGCAGCTCACACTGGGGGGAACACAGCAGCTCAAACTGGGAGGAACACAGCAGCTCACACTGGGGGGAACATAGCAGCTCACACTGGAGGGGATACAGCAGCTCACACTGGGGGAACACAGCAGCTCACACTGGGGGGAACACAGCAGCTCAAACTGGGGGGAATACAGCAGCTCACACTGGGAAGAACACAGCAGCTCACACTGGAGGGGATACAGCAGCTCACACTGGAGGGAACACAGCAGCTCACACTGGGGGAACACAGCAGCTCACACTGAAGAGAACACAGCAGCTCACACTGAGGGGGAACACTGCAGCTCACACTGGAGGGAACACAGCAGCTCACATTGAGGGGGAACACAGCAGCTCACATTTAGGGGTAGCATATCTCACACAGTAGGGCACAGCAGCTCACACTGCAGGGACCATAGCAGCTCACACTGGGGGAACACAGCAGCTCACACTGGGGGAACATAACAGCTCACACTGGGGGAAACACAGCAGACCACACTGGGGGGGGACAGCAGCTCACACTGAGAGGAACACAGAAGCTCACACTGGCGAAACACAGCCGCTCACACTGAGGGGAACACAGCAGCTCACACTGGGGAGAACAAAGCAGCTCGCACCGTGGGGAACACAGCAGCTCACACTGAGGGGGAACACAGCAGCTCACACCGGGGGGAACACAGCAGCTCACACTGGGGGGAACACAGCAGCTCACACTGGGGGGAACACAGTATCTCACACAGTAGGGCACAGCAGCTCACACTGGGGGGGAACACAGCAGCTCACACGGGAGGGAACACCACAGCTCACCCTGGGGGGAACACAGCAGCTCACACTTTGGCGAACACAGCCGCTCACACTAGAGGGATCACAGCAGCTCACACTGGGGGGAACACAGTATCTCACACGGGGGGAACACAGCAGCTCACACTGGGGGGGACACAGCAGCTCACACGGAAACACAGCATCTCACACTGGGGGGAACACAGCAGCTCACTCTGGGGGGGAAATAGCAGCTCAAACTAGGGGTAACACAGTATCTCACACCGCGGGGTAACACAGCAGCTCACACTGGGGGGGAACACAGCAGCTCACACTGGGGGAAACACAGCAGCTCACACTGGGGGGAACACAGCAGCTCACACTGGGGGAAACACAGCAGCTCACACTGGGGGAAACACAGCAGCTCACACTGGGGGGGAACACAGCAGCTCACACCAGGGGGAACACAGCAGCTCACACTGGGGGGGAACACAGCAGCTCACACTGGGGGAAACACAGCAGCTCACACTGGGGGAAACACAGCAGCTCACACTGGGGGGGACACAGCAGCTCACTATGTGATTTTCTCTTCTTATAACAGGATTACCTTTTTTTCGGTATGCTTACAGTCATAGCAATCTGGTTCAAATAAGTCAGATGGAACAAATATCTGAGTTTGAGATTTTTTTATTTATTTGAATTTTACAATCCTCCTAAACAGACAATTCAGATGAGAAATTATCGATTCTAAATTAAAAAAATAAAAATCGAATTAGCTCATATTATCCTCACCACTCTTGACCTTTGATCATTCTAGGAGTTAAAGGAGTCTCACATTCTGGTTTATGGGGGTCTAACATTTTGGAAATATTTAACCCAGCAGTGTGAAGTTTAAATTTTAGGGGAGGGAGTGGCTGATCTAACCATTTCAAAACTCTCTGAGTACACCTTCAGCTCTGTTTAAAGGAAGAAATTCAGGGTGCTTGCAGTACAGATATCAACTTTTTACTTCTTAATTCTATTAAAGGCTTTCCGGTGAAATGTACAACTTTATCCATGGGAACAGAAGGACGGGATAAAGGGACGGACGGGGGGAGTTTTGCAAATTATGAATCAGTCCGTACAAAATTGGGCATGTAATAAAAATGCATCTAAGTATTTGAGCCAAATGATGTAAAATACATAAATGCTGTGTTTGGGTTTTAAATTGTTCTTGAATTTTGCAATAAAGCCTAATAAGAGTTATAGCAGGAAATGCCGGAGACGGATTGAGATGACCAGTGATGGTTCAGTGTTTTGATTTCCTGAACGCTCAGAGTTTGCTCGGATGCAATATAAAGACATCTGACTGTTTCTTACAGGCTGTCCATCTGTGATAAAATATTGAAAGGCAGCACTAATCAGAAATTCCCATTCAGTGTGTAGGAGCAGGTGAATATCCGTTATCTGCCAAAGCAAATGACAGACAGGTGATTGGAATGCAGGACGCTGAGCGTTGAGAAATGGTAAACACGCATTAACCCATCGGCAACCAGTAACTTTATTTACTTTCATCACATACTAGACACGTGTTATACAAGCGCAGAATGTTCTAAGAAGAGTAAGGGTTTTTTGTAAATTTAACAGAAAATTTTGTGTTTTATGCGGTTAACACAAACCATAGATGATTTTCAATGTTTTATTTAATGTGGTGTACATTCCAGGGAAGTGACAGTACCCCTTTAAAGATTAGGCACTGTATTTTCTTAGCAGAGTGAATGAATGCAAAGAGAATGCTAAGTGAATACTAAGTGAATGAATGCCCCCATTTTGGGCAGGCCACTTAAAGAACTGGCAGGCCCGCCTGTCAAGCTATCAGTCAATCACAATGGCCGGCCCGCTGACAAAAGGTTACGGTTTTTGAGGTCAGTTCCCTGGTGTCCCCGAACGTTGGACAACAGGTAGCAAACCCGGGACAGAGGGAAAGGACTCTGAAATCAGGAGGAGTTGGGAGGTATGAGAATATAACCTTAGAGATTAAAGTAAAATGATGCTGACACATGTTTTCATAACATCACTATATGGAGTAAACTGTTTAAATAATATCATTTCAGAGTTAAATCTTTCTTGTAGAAAAAGAAACCGTATAAATTTCAGAAAAAAAAGGAATCACATTGCATCGTCTGAAAGTGAATAGCCCTCTGAGATTGCTTTTAATAGTTCGCAGATCACCAACTGAAAGGTGTAAATTAAACAGTGAAAATACCAGAACTGAAACTAGTTCATGGATTATGAGACATAATGGGGTTAATTCACTAAAACGGGATTTGTGGAGAATAGATAAAGGAAATTTGTACATTTTTAGGCTAAAATAGTTGAGCATGAAAATGAATTTCCTGCTCAGATTTTTTTTTCCATCTCTGCCATTTATTTCTAAAATGTTGAATTATCTTGCTATGTTTTTGTAAACAAATCTCTGTGTATTCATCGTTCTATCCATGTAAATTGAAACAGCTAAAATGTGTTAAATAAAGTGTCAGACTAAGGAAAATAACCAACAAAGGTCAGTGTATTATCACAAACAATTGTATTATTACAGCCTATTGCATTATTACAGCTCAGTGCATTATTACAGCTCATTGTATTATTACAGCTCAGTGTATTATTGCAGCTTATTGTATTATTACAGCTCAGTGTATTATTACACCCAAATGCATTATTACAGCTCAGTGCATTATTACAGCTCATTGTATTATTACAGCTTATTGTATTATTACAGCTCAGTGCATTATTACAGCTCATTGTATTATTACAGCTTATTGTATTATTACAGCTCAGTGTATTATTACAGCTCATTGTATTATTACAGCTCAGTGTATTATTACACCCTAGTGCATTATTACAGCTCAGTGTATTATTGCAGCTTGTTGTATTATTACAGCTCATTGTAATTTTACAGCTAAGTGTATTATTACAGCTCAGTGTATTATTGCAGCTTATTGCATTATTACAGCTCAGTGTATTATTGCAGGTTATTGTATTATTACAGCTCAGTGTATTATTGCAGCTTATTATATTATTACAGCTCAGTGTATTATTACACCCTATTGCATTATTACAGCTCAGTGTATTATTGCAGCTTATTGTATTATTACAGCTCATTGTAATTTTACAGCTAAGTGTATTATTACACTTTATTGTATCATTATAGATTACAGTAATACCCCGAAATTCGTGGGAGTTATGTTCCTAGACCCCCTGCAAATTTTGTAAATATGCAAATTTTAGACGAACAACTAACAAAGGCCTATAAATACCTATCTTCACATGTTAAACACTAAATATGTCCTCAAAACACTTCATACTGTACATACATGTACCTCTACTGTCCGCCACCTTATGCCCGCCCACGTCTTCTCTGAGACACTGAACTCTTGTGAGCGCATGTTCTGATTTTGATACAGTTGCGTCAGCGGTAGTCGTTATGCTTTATATTAGAATTAGAAATTAACACTAAAAATTATATCTACAATTTACTGGTCACAAAAAAAAATCTACAGATTTCATCTGCTGGACCTGAGGAAAAAAATACGCAAATTCGTGAAGCCGCAGATTCAAAAGCGCAAATTTTCTGGGTATTCCTGTATTGTATTACTGAAGCTCATTGTATTATTCCAGTTCGTTGAAATATTGCAACTCATTGTATTACTCCAGCTTATTGTATTATTACAGCTCATTGTATTACTCCAGCTTATTGTATTATTATAGCTCATTGTATTACTCCAGCTCATTGTATTATTGCAGCTCAGTGTATTATTACAGTTTATTGTATTAGAAACATAGAAACATAGAATGTGACGGCAGATAAGAACCATTCGGCCCATCTAGTCTGCCCAATTTACTAAATACTTTCATTAGTAACTGGCCTTATCTTATATCTAGAATAGCCTTATGTCTATCTCATGGATGCTTAAACTCCTTATTACAGTTCATAGCAGTATTACAGCTTATTGTATTATTACAGTTCATTGTATTATTACAGCTCATTGCATTATTACAGCTTATTGTATTATTGACGCTCAGTGTATTATTACAGTTTATTGTATTATTAGAGACTATTGTATTATTACAGCTCACTGTTTTATTACACCGCATTGTTTTATTACAGCTCATTGTATTATTACAGCTTTTTGTATTATTACAGTTTATTGTATTATTACAGCTCACTGTTTTATTACACCGCATTGTATTATTACAGTTTATTGTATTATTACAGCTCATTGTTTTATTACAGCTCATTGTATTATTGATGCTGAGTGTATTATTACAGTTTATTGTATTATTACAGCTCATTGTTTTATTACAGTTTATTGTATTTTTGACGCTCAGTGTATTATTACAGCTTAGTGTATTATTGCAGATAAGGATAATGTGGAATTAATAATTTTATGCTAAATATCAATTTCATCTATCCTGGGTAGCAGTGCAATGCAAGTGCGTGTTTAGCCACTTAAGGACACATGATGGAAATGTCCCACCATACTGGTCTTTTACTACTGAGGGTTAATGAACTGTCACAGGTGCACTTGGTAACTCCCGGCCATTTGCGGTATATACCATCGCTTTGAAATACTAAAAAATTGGCAAGTCTGATTAGCCATTACTGAGAATCCTTTCATACTGACGCCCATATGCACAGGATGATAAGCACACTTTATCTAAATTCACATCGCCAGTGATGTGACACGCTCCCCTCGTTGGTCCTGTATGAACCTGGTCTCATTTATACTACCTCCACAAGGTCTCGCTTCCTGTAACTAGGAACTAAGCATTTGTCTTCCATCTTTAACATCTGACAGCTTAAAGCTTGTTGATTCCTATTGATTTTTGTAGCGAACAACCTATAAGATGTATGACAAACTGCCCATTTCCCAGACTTATGGAGTAATTGGATTTTCTGCTGATCCTGCAACTAGTGGTGTTGATTGATAGTTGGGCATGGTCCGTGGGTGATAAAGTAAGAGAATTATGATGCACTCTGAGTACAACGACATGATGTACTTTCCATTGTATCAGGTCTAACCATGAACCAAACTCGATGTCCCAATCTATAGAAAATAAACCGTATTCTTACTAAACAGTCAACAGTCAGGAGTTTATCATGGAATGGCAAATTTGTAGCCAATCTAGTCTGGAAATTTGTTTCCAAGCTATGTTTCTATCTTAGTTAGTCATGTCTGAAATTTTCAATTCCCCATTTTTAATTTGAATTCCTAATAATTCACTCCTTAATGAATACTGAATAACCCTGACAGAGTTTCGTAAAGATTCCTGTTCACAACACAGGATCACCGTTTTCAATGTTTAGACCTGGAATTGGACAATATTCTGTTTAAACTACAAGTCCTCTTAATTCTATTCCCTTATTTTCTTTTCCCTTTTTTTCATTTTCAAATTGGTTAATTGCTTCTTCTGTGGTTTTGTAAAACAAAAATATTGGAAGCTGTATCATCATTTGTTCTTACTATGTGTTGAGTTCGCCTTTTAATAAAGATTTTAAAAAACAGCCGATGTTCAACAGATGTTCGTGATTTTGAATGTTGTTTGCTCATCCCTATATTCAACAAATACATATTTCTGAGATGTGAAAATTTTAATTAAATGTATAAATCAAACCTCTTTATCCTGCAACTGTGTACCTCTATCGTAGCTCCCTGTCAGTCATTGTTATATGCTCTGTCAATTGCTCCTTGCAATAAGCACAGAGAGAACATACAGAGAAGAGGAGAAATTAAACAATTAGGTATTCGTTAGACATGTGCAATTTGTTTAGTTACGAATTTCATGCAATTCAGTCATTCAGATGCTTCAGAATGTCCGAAGTTTGAAGTTCTGAATTGCCGAAGTTCCGAATTGCTGAAGTTCCGTTCCGAATGCCGTTGGTCCGAATTGCCAAAGCAGATAAATTACTTACCCCGAATTTCCGAACTGAACCAAACCAAATATTTTGCCCATGCACATCCCTAGTTTTCTTATAAAAAGCTTTGTGTTCTGAAAAATGACCTAATCCACTAAAAGTGAGGCAGTCGCCATGAAAACCAATGGAACCATTAGGTATATTCCACTAGTGACTCCATCGTTTCTCCATCTGCTTTTTCAACCACTTTTCAAGAACAAACACTTTCGTGCATATTGTTTCTATGTTTCCTCCTCATTAGCGATGTGTGTCCTGTTGTGCTTGGACTGAACAAAATTGTGTCGTAAAAATTTCAGAGAAAAAAGTTTTATAAAACAAAAAATGTTCTAGGTGATATTAAATGTGTTATTCAATGGCATAAACTGGAGAGAAGGATTTAAAACAGATAATATTGGATTTTTCGTAATGTTACCTTGCAACTTAAAAGTGCTAAAAAAAAATAGAAAAAATAAATAATACATTAAAGTGCTTTATATGAATGAATGTGATTTATTTATTTGTATTTTTCACTATTGGCTGTGTCCATTACCTGTAGAACCACCCATTATGATTCTTTTAGATGCTTCTATTATTGTACGTAGCTTAGAATCGAATGAAACCAGCTGAATGTTTATTGCAACAAAAGAACGCGTGACCTCCAGAACTGGTGCAGCCTCCATCCCTTTATTAAGTTCCTGAAGGACAAAGTCATTATTATAAAGCCTAACCTATTTATTGTAAATTGCCATGAAAATCAGCCATTTAATCCATTTCTCCTGCTTCCCATCTAGTTATCACCATCAGTTCTTTCTCTAATTCTATACAGTGCTATGATGTTTATAAACTCTGTATTTTCTGATGGTGATTTGTTTTTTTAAATTAGTGACATATTACTACTTTGATGTTGTTAGTACAGTTGTTCATTTAACTGTTGCTCTTCATTTTTTATTTATGCGATATATAATAATCTGTGAATAATAACTACTCGTAGCATTAAAGGAGGATGTGCCATTTCCAATCATTTTTAATATTGTTACGTATCCCTATATTAAGCAAGTATGTATTTGTGAGATGTGAAAACTAAAATTAAATGTTGAAATCAACACCTCTTTATCCTGTGACTGGTGCCTCCAACTTAGCTCCCTGTCAATCATTGTTATAAGATCTGTCGATTTCACCTGGCAGTCAGCACAGAAAGAGCATACAGAGAGGAGGAGAAATGAAACATTGTTTCTATATCTCCTCCAATCTGCATTGTGTGCCCTGGCTGTGCCTTGTGCGAACTGGATTAAGATGAAATTTGCTAAATCTTTTACATAAATTTAAAAAGAAAATAAAGCATCACATAAGAAAGGTTAATGGGACTTTAAAAGTTTTTATCTCCTGCTCTGTAAATTGAACTTTAATCACTCATAGGAGGCTCCTGCAGGGTGTAGCAACATATTAACAGAGCAGGAGATAAGACATTCTAAATGAAACAGAATGTAATAAAGGAAGTGTAAACATTGCATGACTCTTTACAGGAAGTGTTTTGGAAGGTTGTGTAAGTCACATGCAGGGAGGTGTGACTAGGGCTGAATAACCAAAGTGATGTAACGCCTAAATGGCAGAGAATTGGGCAGTGAGACTACAGGAGCGTGATTTATACACCAAACTGCTTAATTTAGCTAAAGTTGTTCTGCTGATTATAGTGTCCCTTAAATGTATGTTTTATGTGAGTGTCAATGTCTTATTCTATGGTGTAAATTCTAAAGAAGTGACTGTTTCCCTTTTAAGACAACGTTCACCTTAATGGATGGGAGGGTAGCAAATCTCGTCCCATAAACTGTTTTGGTCTACCTTTTTAAAACAAATGTATCTGATTTTGATTAAATAGACACTCAGTGCTCGATGTGACCTATTTACAATACATGCTCAGACTCCCTTTTGAATGCTTGAAACTATGTGTGACTCACTGCACCAAAATCAATTCAACATACAGATGTTATAATGAAATAAATTAACGTTTACTGTAAACTAGACTTACATTCAGTTTCAAATAAACTGGGATTCATCCTAATTTTGGGCAATTGGAGATTGTACAAATTCAGTAACTCTGAAGCACCATAGGGATGTATCACAAATGAACCGAACAATGGAAGAGCATATTTGAACATATTTACATTTGCTGGAAGTGCAAAATAGAATCACAAGTTGTGAAATTCTCAAACTTCATAAAAGCACTTTTGCCTTTTTTATTCTGTATTTGTCACGGACAGATATGATCCAACTAACACAGACACGCAGTTGCACCGATCACAGGCACGGGATCGCACCACACTGCACCGGCTGCTTGACAGTATGTTACAATAGAATGGGTGACGATCTTACTGTTACTTTGGAGAATTTTAAAATACGTCAGTGATACTAAATTTGGCACTGAAAGGCTCCATGGATATTGATGAACTAAATTTACTTTCAAACATCTAGGTTGCCAGCTGAACACCTTACTGTCTGGACTCTCCAGAAGTTTGTTACAGAAGATGAATGGTCTAATATTCCTTTAAGTAAAATGTTTTTCTGAAAGCCCTGTTAAGACCTGTTTCATGTCCCTCTCAATATCTTCTGTAATACTACATTAAAGTATGGAGAATCAAGTGTTACTATAGGAACACCATATGATGAACCAAGTGCGAATTTAACTTTTTTCAGAAAAGAGGACTTAAGCACTCAGTACTGAAATCTCCAGTGAAGAGACTCATCTGAACACAGAGGCCCATTAAAACATCCAGCATTTTGTGTTCTTTAATGTCTCGGTAAACGGTGAAACGGGAATGAGTCATCAGTCTCTGTGAAATGCTAACAGTTTACAGAAACCTAAAAAAATATATACCTGTGAGCCTCTGAGATTGTAAAACATTCATATCCAATCTAGGATACAAAGTGTAAAGAGAAATAAACGTCAGAAAACATTAACTGTCTATTCACCTGTACATCTCTTCTTTCTGTCTGTTTGTTCATGCGTCTATCTATCTATCTATGAAGAAAGACACACTATTTGTGCTTTAATTTGGATTTCTATGCAATGTGAGACAGTTCTGGCAGAGCCTGGCACCATTGCAAATTTGAAATGATTTCCTGCCTGCACTCAGAAACCTCACTTTTCGTGCACAGTGAATCACTGGAAAATTATACCTAGAATATGTTTTGTGGACCAAGGACATACTTGAAAATGAGAGAAATCTCAATGTATCCTTCCTGATAAAATATTTTAGAAATAACATAAATAATAACCTAACCTACACAGTGCACCTAACGTATGTGGGAGCCTGGAGTGTCCCTTTAATAATATAAACCCACCCAGTATAACTAACTGTAACCTAACCTACACAGTGCATCTAATGTGTGTGGGAGCCTGGAGTGTCCCTTTAATAATATAAACCCACCCAGTATAACTAACTGTAACCTAACCTACACAGTGCACCTAACGTGTGTGGGAGCCTGGAGTGTCCCTTTAATAATATAAATCCACCCAGTATAACTAACTGTAACCTAACCTACACAGTGCATCTAACGTGTGTGGGAGCCTGGAGTGTCCCTTTAATAATATAAATCCACCCAGTATAACTAACTGTAACCTAACCTACACAGTGCATCTAATGTGTGTGGGAGCCTGGAGTGTCCCTTTAATAATATAAACCCACCCAGTATAACTAACTGTAACCTAACCTACACAGTGCATCTAACGTGTGTGGGAGCCTGGAGTGTCCCTTTAATAATATAAACCCACCCAGTATAACTAACTGTAACCTAACCTACACAGTGCACCTAACATGTGTGGGAGCCTGGAGTGTCCCTTTAATAATATAAACCCACCCAGTATAACTAACTGTAACCTAACCTACACAGTGCATCTAACGTGTGTGGGAGCCTGGAGTGTCCCTTTAATAATATAAACCCACCCAGTATAACTAACTGTAACCTAACCTACACAGTGCATCTAACGTGTGTGGGAGCCTGGAGTGTCCCTTTAATAATATAAACCCACCCAGTATAACTAACTGTAACCTAACCTACACAGTGCATCTAACGTGTGTGGGAGCCTGGAGTGTCCCTTTATTAATATAAACCCACCCAGTATAACTAACTGTAACCTAACCTACACAGTGCATCTAACGTGTGTGGGAGCCTGGAGTGTCCCTTTAATAATATAAACCCACCCAGTATAACTAACTGTAACCTAACCTACACAGTGCACCTAACGTGTGTGGGAGCCTGGAGTGTCCCTTTAATAATATAAACCCACCCAGTATAACTAACTGTAACCTAACCTACACAGTGCACCTAACGTGTGTGGGAGCTTGGAGTATCCCTTTAATAATATAAACCCACCAAGTATTACTAACTGTAACCTAACCTAAACAGTGCATCTAACGTGTGTGAGAGCCTGGAGTGTCCCTTTGGTAATATAAACTAACTCAGTATAACTAACTGTAACCTAACCTACACAGTGCACCTAAAGTGTGTGGGAGCCTGGAATGTTCTCTAATAATATAAACCCACCCAGTATAAGTGTAACCTAACCTACACAGTGCACCTAACATGTGTGGGAGCCTGGAGTGTTCCTTTAGTAATATAAATACACCCAGTATAACTAACTGTAACCTAACCTACACAGTGCACCTAACGTGTGTGTGAGCCTGGAGTGTCCCTTTAATAATATAAACCCACCCAGTATAACTAACTGTAGCCTAACCTACACAGCACACGTAACTTGTGTGGGAGCCTGAAGTGTCCCTTTAATAATATAAACCCACCGAGTATAACTAACTGTAACCTAACCTTCACAGTGCACCTAACGTGTGTGGGAGCCTGGAGGGTCCCTTTAACAATATTAACCCACCCAGTATAACCGTAACCTAACCTACACAGTGCACCTAACGTGTGTGGGAGCCTGGAGAGTCCCTTTAATAATAGAAACTCACCCAGTATAACTAACTGTAACCTAACGTACACAGTGCATCTAACGTGTGTGGGAGCCTGGAGTGTCCCTTTAATAATATAAACCCACCCAGTATAACTAACTGTAACCTAACCTACACAGTGCATCTAACGTGTGTGGGAGCCTGGAGTGTCCCTTTAATAATATAAACCCACCCAGTATAACTAACTGTAACCTAACCTACACAGTGCATCTAACGTGTGTGGGAGCCTGGAGTGTCCCTTTAATAATATAAACCCACCCAGTATAACTAACTGTAACCTAACCTACACAGTGCATCTAACGTGTGTGGGAGCCTGGAGTGTCCCTTTAGTAATATAAACCCACCCAGTATAACTAACTGTAACCTAACCTACACAGTGCATCTAACGTGTGTGGGAGCCTGGAGTGTCCCTTTAATAATATAAACCCACCCAGTATAACTAACTGTAACCTAACCTACACAGTGCATCTAACGTGTGTGGGAGCCTGGAGTGTCCCTTTAATAATATAAACCCACCCAGTATAACTAACTGTAACCTAACCTACACAGTGCATCTAACGTGTGTGGGAGCCTGGAGTGTCCCTTTAATAATATAAACCCACCCAGTATAACTAACTGTAAACCACAGTGCAAACGTGTGGGAGCCTGGAGTGTCCCTTTAATAATATAAACCCACCCAGTATAACTGTAACCTAACCTACACAGTGCAAACGTGTGTGGGAGCCTGGAGTGTCCCTTTAATAATATAAACCCACCAAGTATAACTAACTGTAACCTAACCTACACAGTGCACCTAACGTGTGTCAGAGCCTGGAGTGTCCCTTTAATATTATAAACCCACCCAGTATAACTAACTGTAACCTAACCTACACAGTGCATCTAACGTGTGTGGGAGCTGGAGTGTCCCTTTAATAATATAAACCCACCCAGTATAACTAACTGTAACCTAACCTACACAGTGCATCTAACGTGTATGGGAGCCTGGAGTGTCCCTTTAATAATATAAACCCACCCAGTATAACTAACTGTAACCCTAACCTACACAGTGCATCTAACGTGTGTGGGAGCCTGGAGTGTCCCTTTAATAATATAAACCCACCCGGTATAACTAACTGTAACCTAACCTACACGGTGTATAACTAACTGTAACCTAACACAGTGTGTGAGCCTGGAGTGTCCCTTTAATAATATAAACCCACCCAGTATAACTAACTGTAACCTAACCTACACAGTGCATCTAACGTGTGTGGGAGCCTGGAGTGTCCCTTTAATAATATAAACCCACCCAGTATAACTAACTGTAACCTAACCTACACAGTGCACCTAACGTGTGTGGGAGCCTGGAGTGTCCCTTTAATAATATAAACCCACCCAGTATAACTAACTGTAACCTAACCTACACAGTGCACCTAACGTGTGTGGGAGCCTGGAGTGTCCCTTTAATAATATAAACCCACCCAGTATAACTAACTGTAACCTAACCTACATAGTGCACCTAACGTGTGTGGGAGCCTGGAGTGTCTTTTATCTTAGCCATAGGATAAGGATTACAGGAGTAGAAATCTCACAGCAGAATCGTATTTACTTTCAGAACAGATTCTCAAAAGGTAGGAAGCAGCTGTTTCGAATGTAATACTAAATCTTAAAAGACTGAATAAGAATTCTTTTTATGAATGAAATAAAAACGTGAATTTTTAGAATGGATCTCCTTTCATTTCAGTCTAAATAATAAAGAAAGAAAATGGTAATGACTAAAAAATGCAGAACTGCACACCATTCAAAAGCAACAACCCGTGATTATGACTCAGTAAGCACTCAAATAGCACACTTTTGGTTTTATTTAGGGTTCTTTTTTTATCTACAAAGTACAAAGTATCCCTTTTAACCCCGCCCAGACTTTCTGTGTCTGTCCAATCATCTGCTTCCCAATGCAACTCAATGAGAAGTCTTTGCAAGGCAGGAGCTCTGAGCAATTGCTACCTCTTGAGTCTATCTCAACTGAGCTAACCAAACCAGAAAGAAACAGGACCAGTTGTCTGATTGACAACCAAGGGGGTGTAACAAGGTTATTTATAAAAGTACAAATTTCTATGGAAATCTGCACTTTTTGTAAAATGAAATACAGAGCACACACTCTTCACACATAAAGCACTTCAGAAAGCTAAAGTTCTCTAGATTTTTGGAGTGTTCCTTTAAATCAGGGATGTCCAAACTCCGGCTCTCCAATTTGGAGATCCCTGCTTTAAATGATACTCAGTTTTTTGTTGGTGGTTAATTGCCCTCCCTGCTGTGTAATCTCCCTGAGAATTCTACAGACTGTAGTCATCCTTAACTGTTTGATTTGCTGGCTGTAGCCTGGTAAAAATTGCTTTCCATATATTCTTTGTAGATTAGTTATTGTGGTAAGTGATAGGGAATAATCAGGCTAACAGTGTGTTCCAGGATAGCTATCCTGTTAAACTGGACTGTCACCCCAAGGACTTTTTATCCTATGTTTGCTATCCCACGTATTTGAGAAAATATGCAAAATAAAATGTCAAAAATGGATTTTGAAGAATTAACAAACACAGTTCCTGACTTTCATCTTACCAACGGGGCCCATCGACTAAACAACACGCTGAGTGGATACATAACACCTACTGAGTTCAGAGCCGACCTTAAGGGCTCTAAAATGTGTGAGTGTTCTCCATATTTGATTTTACTGATATCACATTTTATACAGTCTACGCTATGTTGGTTTTATGTTCATATTAATAGGTTTTATCCTGTATATCGATGCCGAAGTGAAGTACACCTATCATTTTGTGCACTATCACCTTATTTCTCTCCAAGACTCTATTTATGTATAAGTGTTATATTGGAATAGCACTTAGGTGATTTTTAGCTGCACGATTTTAGGATACCATTGGCTTTCATTTTTTTTTTAATACATGGACATTTTAGACTTCATTTGGAAACCATTGTAGCTGAATAATGTCTCCAGTTCAGCAATTTCAATCTTCAAACATTTGATACATTTCAGGGTTGTTGTTGTTGTTGTTGAACTTATATACCTTACTGTGTTATCTAGCAATCAGTAAAAAAAAATAAAAAAGATTTGGGGTTTTCATTGCTAAATTAAATATATTCTGATAACATTTTTTAACATCCTAATATCCATACACAGCACAAATGCTGCTTAGCAAATAAACCCCAACGAAACGCACATAGCAGATTCTCTTGTTTGCTGATGAGGTACAAGATAATGCGTTCTTTTCATAGTTCTAGCGTACAGGGAGAAAACCTGAAAGGGATTTTATCAAACAAAAGCAAAACAACATAAATGGGCAATTTAACACGAACGAAAAAAAAGACAAAATGCCTTCAGTTATTGAATTTCATTTACACTTCTGCTCCTTATTTCTTTACTCTTACGTTACTAATAGCAAAAACATAAATAATTCCTATTTTCAGATCAGAAGCCTGCTGTTTCACATTCAGTCATCACAAGTCTATTTTCCTGAGTGAGGAACGCGTGGGGTTCGGTATGACCAACTGTCCGTCAGTTTAATATATTTAACCTCTACACTGCCATGCACTCTCTGTTTTAAATTGAGCAACATTTAATTGGAACGCAGTGATGGCATATGAATGTAGGACAAAACAACAAAATGTGTGTAGAGATTGCTGTACAGAGATACATTTTTATTTGCCAGAAATAGTCATTAAATAAATAAATGTAAAATGTTTTTGTTTTGTTTTTTTATTTGAAAAAAATAAAAATATAGGAACATTACAATTTCAGCACGGTAAAGAAACACAGCAAACACCATAACCACAACAGCTAAATGTAGTGGTTATGGTGCCAGGAGTATCCTGGTGCCCCGCATTTTAAAAAGTCTAACTATTTTGAAATAGTTTGATTTCTTACCTGGGGTCTGCTGACCATTGCTCCTTGCTTCTACTACTAATACTAGTGCAGGGCGTAGCACATTGGCTGAGAGTGATAGGAGCTGATCACTGTCAGGCAGAACTAACCCTTGGCAGAGAAATTCATTTCAATCAGGTTGAAAATCGTTTCTGGAAATTAAGGAAAGTAAAACATGTATACAAAATGTTGTAGTAAAGGAGTTGCAGGCGGTTAGCACAGAAAATACATTTGTGATATGGTGGAACATATATGGCCATTACTAGTCAATTCAAAATTAGTTTTGTTTTTTTTATTCTCCCCTCCAGCACTTCTTGATGTGTTAACTTTGGCAGCAAATTTTAATTCAGTTTTAATTATAGTCTTTTGACTAAAAAGCCATTTTAGTTTTAGTCTTATTTTAGTCACCTCAATTGTTTTACTTTTAGTCCAGTTTTAGTCGACTAAATCTCCAGACTAAAATCTAATGGGTTTCGTTAAAGCCGCTATCTGTCTCTTTTGCCCCTTCCCCAGCCTCTCTGTGTCTCTTTGTGTCCTCCCAGCCCTCTAGGTGTCTCTCTCCCAAACCCTGCTCTGTCTATTTTGCTCCTTCCACAGCCCCTGTGTGCAATGTTTTGACAGGAAATTTCAATCACGTTTTAGTCATAGTCTTTAGTTGTAGTCGTATTTCAGTCATCTGAATTGTTTTAGTTTTAGTCGACCACAATATGACTAAAATAATGTTTTTTTAGTTTTGCTTTATTTAGTTTGCAGACGCAAAGATTGACATTTAGAGTCTGTCGGTTTTCTGTGACTGAGACACTTTCCATGCATTTTCTTGTAAATTTCACATAAAAGGCATTGATTGCTCACTAAAGCATTAGTTGAGCTCCATGACTCTATTGCTTAAAACTCGAAGCAACATCCTAATTCTGTCTGCTCCCTACGCTATGTACCACAGAAAGTTACGACGGAAAGTCCATGCACGCTGTGTCCCAACTTTACAAAACGAAGCATGGAAAATAAGGAAAAGGTGCTTTTTACAGCAGGATAGTGCAGTTTGGATATAAATATCTTGTGTATGTTTTCCATTACGCTTATAGGGGCCTTTTCCACTCATTTGATTCAAATGAGAAAAAGTTAAATACAAAAAATCTGTATTTCTAAAATTCTATATTATCGCTTCCTCTTCTCTCCCTCTCTCAGGATCTGTTCTTCATTTCTTCCTGTCTGCTGTAGTTTTCTTTAAAACATAAGACAAAGTAAGGACGATAATGTCTTGTGTATTTTTCCAATGCTTGACCAGCTTTGACCAAGAGGAGGAGCTAAGTCCGCTCCATTTCCTGTGGTCAAAGCAATTTTTCCACAATACTCACCTAGAGGCGCTTCCTGTACAACAAGCAAGTAAAACGGATGTGAAAAAATACAGCTAATAGGAAATCGACACCCCATAATGAAACTGCGGGAAATGGAACAGGCAGCCGCGCAGAGGGAGTCTTTTCGCTGGAGGAAAAGGTAAGTTAAATCTTTTTTTAATAACTTTTTTTGCAAAATCTAATTAGGGACTAGAGCACTATAGTGGTAGAAACATGCCAGCTTGAATCCAGCCGCCATAACAACTTATCTTCAAACCTTCCTGGAATGGACGGTGATCTGAAGGTGAACCAGCTTCAGGTTTAAACCATTCAAAAACGTTTGAATCACTGGTAATATGAAGGTCAGACACTCCTGCCACCACAACAACATCATAGAGATGAAGTTGTTATGTTGTGGGAGGGTTCCTTTAATATATACTACAATGTTAATTTTTCTCAATAGATCTCTACTAATAACTCTGATCCTACACTCAGAATAACCTCTAAGTATAAATGTCTGTGTCAAAAATAACAATCATAAACAATATTCGTGTCAGACCATTAATGGAAGACTTATGCGGGAATGGGCAAGAAAATGGTACTTAAGATTATTTTAGTTCTGGATTTATAACTTTCCATCAACTCAATGGTGGAACTGGAAAGTTCATTTTAGGATACAATTCCGTTCCTTGCTGAAGCCAACATTTGCTAATAATAGAGCAATGATCACTGGATGATTAATTGGAATGGTTGTTGTGGCGAAACCAACCTCGCCACTGGGCATTGGAGAAGCCTGTTTGCCCGCCTCCTGCCTACCCCTGGGAGATATGGCCCTTTTAATACAGTATTTGGGCATATTGTATTTTATTATGCTGCTGCTGGCCCTTTAAGAACCATCTGCAGATATACTGTGACTTTTGGGAACAATGCCCCTTGGAAGATATTGCCTGTTAAAGACTATTTTAGCAGATTGGATTTTAAAAGACTTGCTGCCCCTTTAAATTGTATTGGAGCAGTTCTGCAGCTTTAAATTGGCACTTCGGATGCAGCCAAAGTAGTCGAAGTGGCCGCCATTCGACAAACGAACACGTGGTGGCGGCCATCTTTAATTCAGCTTAAGTTTTACCTTCTCCAGACTTCAATGCATTCGACAGTTCATTCGACAGTTCGACAATTCGAATGGTTGTCGTTCGTCTGTTTGAACTGACTTTAACATGGGAAATAGACTGACCGCACAGCCTGATTCTCTGGAACTGTTTTGGGCATGAAAATGTGCTTGCGGTCAGTCAAACTTGACTTATATCTATCTCCTGCACGGCTGAACGGATTTGAATGATTGGGTATGTTTATATTTGAAATGTGCTGATTAATAATATGTAATTTTTATGAAGATTGGATGTATATTTTTAAAGTTATAGCACATATATAAAAACTGTATTTTTCCTGCTTGTGATAATTATGTTAACCCATTGTGTACCATAATTATATCACAGGCAGAGGGGAGGATTTTGTGTATAATAGCTGGGAGTGTTTTCTGTAATGTACGTGTGTTATTGGTTGTTCCGTAAAACCCTGTGGGCAGTACTAAGTTTGTGGATTGGGAATAAAAGAGGCTGTATGTGCCTGTACAGTCAGTTCTACTTCACCCTTAATTTGGAGTGCCGTCTCTTATTGGGGGAATCTGCTACAAGGGATTGCTATGCTCTGCATACTCCCTTGCTATATTCACTGCTAAGCTCTTGTAAGAGCTTGTTCCTGCCTTGCTCTCTAGAGGAGTCTACGGTGGTTATGGTGTTGGCTGGAGTGCTTGGAGCCTTCAGGAAGCGCTAGGAGCATCCATCAACGGAGGTACCCAGTCGGGGTGCCAGGTGAGCCGTTACAGTTGTGCTCAGCCCAGATCCTCGAAATTTATGGTTTCCAAAAAATGTATTACTCAGAAGACTGGAATACATATAAAGACAACTTATTGCTGTTTACAAACATGTAGTCTTTATAGAACGACTGGAAAAAAAATTAAAATAGTTTAGTTTGGTACCATATTAACAAAAAGAAATCATCTATAAAGGGCCAAATGCTTCCTATTCTATAGAGAATGGGATCTTGCTAAGACCAGAGACCTCAAGAAGAAGACAAGGCAGGTTACTCAAATATCAACAAGATTGGGGGGAGGGTGGGGGGAGGGGATTATTAATAAACCTTGTGATCTCAAAATGAGCATAGAAGAACAATTGAAAATTAAACTGCACACAGGTAGAGAAATCAGCTGCCAGACTGACCCAAACTATCATTTCTGGAATTACAGAAAGGTATGCAGTGGTCATATTCAGTAAGGTGGGATGCTATGGTCATCATTTAGTCCATCTGTTGATGCTCAATGGATTAAAGGACAAGCAGTCTTTCAGTTTACTTATTAATTTAGCCCTTATTTTACTTTTTCCTGTATTTTCAAACAGTATTCTTGGTGTTTCACTCCCACTACCTTCATTCCACAGAGGAACACAGTCAGTCTTACTCATTGTAGATTGCAGAATGACCAGTGCCACTAGTTACTGCCCACCTTACCATTAGTTGGCATTGACCAAGCAGTGGAATTATTTCTGAAGCTACTTGCTGTGACAGTCAGTATATTAATACAGCCCAGTACCATTTACATTTATGTAAAGCTGCGCAGAAAGCAGATTAATAAAATGCAGGATACATGTTCTCAGTTCATTTTCTAGTTCTTTACAACAGTCTACTCTATTTCTGTTTTACTATAAAAATGGCATTTAGTTATAGCATGAATGGAGATAAGCAAAGCACATATTCATGTGTGTCAAAATTAGACACTAGATAAGAGTACAATAAAAACAGAGGGTTACAATCTCTGAGGACAGATACTTTCATTGATACATGAAATAGTAGCCAGTAAATTGTTATTGCAGTACAGCTGCCAATACCTACAGGTAGCTATATCCTTTAAAAAAATGACATACAACTGCAAATCTATTAAAGGATAAAACCCACAATAGTTTTAAATCCAATATAGAATACTGGAACTGTGCACACACCCCATTTATTACTAGTACATATAGATACACTTAGATACATACTCATGTAATAAAAATGGACCTTATTGGAGACACACTTACCTATAAAGTCATGGATAAGGTCCTTTATAATGTGCCCAACAATTGCATAAGCCACAGCCACCATCACCAGAGCAGCCATCAACAGGTAGAGCACAGCTTTGGGCAGGGGCACAGGCTCCTTGGGGGGAGGTTTGTAGTCCTTGTAGAGCTGGTCTTCTTCTGATTCGGAGTAAGAATAATGGAAGAGGTGGTCCAGACCAGTGGTAGTGGTGAAATTGGTGGTATTCATGGACTCGGTGTGGGAGAGGTAGGTGGTCTGTTCTGGCTCTTGTAGGACACTTACCACCGAACTGGTAGTCACCTCCACGGTGCTGATCCCTTGGTGGACCAAATGGAGAGTCTTGTTGACTCTGGGCAGGATCTGAGACAGGAAAGACCCCCAATCTTTGATGGTGCTAATGTTGCATAGGATCATATTGCTGTCGCTGGAGATACCACAAAGAATGTAGCAGCTGGTGGGCTTTCAGGGTCAAAAAATCCCCAAAATATGAAAAATTAATTAACTGGTGAAGGATTGTGGACTTCCCCCTCTGAGATCTCTTGAATAGTAATGATGATAGGAAACCCCAACAGTCTGCTGATGGTGCCCAGTCTCACAATGATCAAGGCAGGGAAAGACCACCTACCCCTCCTTTACCAGATCTGATCTGTGTCCAAGAACCAGCACAATCACCAGTCCTACCTGAAAAATCCGATCTCCTCCAAGAGTCTTCTTCATTGTCCAGGGGTTTCCCCCAGAGACAAGTTCATTGATCAGATAATGGGGGAACTTCAACCCATCGCTCACCGGTTAGACAATAACCAGCTCCCCTCCAGCTCTTCTCTAATGTTTCAAATGAACTCATCCCCTTCAACAGCAAGATAACTTTGTTCTACTGCACTTAAAAAAAAAAAAAAAAGGAAGGGGGTGAAAAACTAATTGGAATCAAATGTTAGGGGTAACACTAGCAAAAGAATCAATTTATCCCAAAAAGAGATCGTAGGGTTTTAGAGAAGGCTTGTAGCAGCGAGTGTTGTGTTTCAGGGAGATCACAATGATTTGCAACATTGTATCAGCTCATGCAGACAGCATTTCAGCACCAGCAGAAGGGACAGCTCCTGTATCAGTCGGTGAGTCAGTGTGCTCCTGCTGGAATGCCCAGACTCTCAGTGAGATGCTCTATGTGTGTTGTGCCCTTGCCACTAGCCACTTGTGTTGTAAAGGGCTATTAATAAACCTGCAATTAATGTCTCCTTTGTGGCATTACGATCCCCCCCTCTCCCCCTCACCCAACCCCCGTTGCTGTAGTCAAATACATTTCACGTTCATTTCCATTTTCCAAAATGTCAAATTTACATGAAGGGAAAAAGCATTAACTGTATTTGGAGAACAGACACCGGGGCACAAGAGAAACACGACGTGGTCTCCTATGTATCATGCATGTAAATACAGAATTAATTAGACAGAGGGAATTAGAAGCTATTCTACGTTATTGTATGGTAGATTTGTGAATAACTGAGCATTTCAATGATACATTTTGTTTCACACACACCACACACACACACGCACACACACACCTGATGTTAAAAAAGGCTTTTTGGTGTCAGACCAGCTCCCTTAAAAACATTTTCTAATTTTTATTTTTTTTAAACTTGTGTTCCCAAGACCAACACAGACTGACATTTGCCAAAAATTCTGATGCAAATCTCTTTTTCTGGGAACACAGAGCAATGCCTTGAACTTGTTAACATGTTCCCTCTTCCATCTCAAGATAAGATTTAGAGTTTAGATTTGGGAGTTCTTCTGTTTTATAGAGAAGAAGAGCAATTAGTGTGTTTGCTTTTTATACATGCTGTTTTATTCTTGTGCAGTAGAAACATACCAAAAAAATATCTAAATTAAATATTCATTAGTCTACAGACCAGATTATTAAAATATACACTTGGCAGTCATTGTGTTTTATGTGGCCCTTCACCCCTTTAGAAATCAAGGGGTTAAAATTCTACATTTGGATATTTAAACATAATGTTACTGGTTAGTTTGACCTTGAAAACGACAATGTAACAAATATAACAGCTGTCACAGTCTACACAGTCTAAGTCATGATTATTTACTAATAAACTGTGAATTGTCAGGAATCAACCAGAATTTTTATGTAAAAAAAATCAGAATTGGACATCCCTGACTCGGTTGTTTGTGGGTTATTTTAGCCAAAAATGTAAACTGCCTGCTTAATTCCCAACAATTTAACTAAACACCAATACACAGTAAATTTAAAACAAAATTGGAAAAATATGGTTTGGGGGGGGGGTGAGGTGGGGAGGAGCTGAACTGGATTAATTCTCCATCTCAGATATAGTCAGTATAGTCACACTGTGGTTATGTTAGCCTGCATTTTATAATTTAGTTTATAATTCACTGTAATGTAGCATTTTGCAGATCAGCTATATTATTAATTATTACAGATATAAAAGAAAATAGATGTAGGCACTCCAGGAAATTGATGAGGCAAAATTGAATAAAACCCAAAAGTCAGCAACAATTCAACATTTTTTGATAAAGACCATTTAGGTCGAAACGTTGCTGACTGTTGGATTTCATTAAATTTGGGAATCTTCTGTAATTGGGACCTGGTTTGGTTGCACCCAGGACTGTATTCTTTGGACTGACTGCAGTTCTGAATTTGGTTTTGTAGGGATTTTATTAATTATTGTCATTCTAGTTTTAATGCCATACAGTTCAGCATTTAGTGAATAAACCTCCTTAGTGAATGAGGGACTGTTTGCTGGTGACAGAGGAGCCACGGCAGAGAATTAAATACTTACCTATACAGAATGACCATAAACAGTGCGGTTTGGGTCATCAGGATCGCTAACATTATAGGAATTCTGCTAGTCAGGTATGGTTTCATTTTCCAATTTCTTTACAATCTGACATCCCTATTTTAAAGTTAGTTCTTGTCTATTAATAATGTTGTATCTCATGTACCCTAATGATTAACATAAACTATGTGAATGCATTGTGCCCATCTTTCTAGTTTCAGTATAAATCTGCCACCACATCTTGTAAGCACAGCCTACAAACATGCATTTAAAGAATAATATAATATATTCATAATCTTCAGTCAGATACAGTGTTGCACCTTAAAGGGTTACTTCAAGCACCATGACCACTTTAGTGATTTATAAAAACTATTTTTTTTTGGTTGGAGAAACCTTTTCTGTGCCTATAGTCGAGCAGTAAACTTTGCCTGTGATTTAACACATACAGGGAGTGCAGAATTATTAGGCAAATGAGTATTTTGACCACATCATCCTCTTTATGCATGTTGTCTTACTCCAAGCTGTATAGGCTCGAAAGCCTACTACCAATTAAGCATATTAGGTGATGTGCATCTCTGTAATGAGAAGGGGTGTGGTCTACTGACATCAACACCCTATATCAGGTGTGCATAATTATTAGGCAACTTCCTTTCCTTTGGCAAAATGGGTCAAAAGAAGGACTTGACAGGCTCAGAAAAGTCAAAAATAGTGAGATATCTTGCAGAGGGATGCAGCACTCTTAAAATTGCAAAGCTTCTGAAGCGTGATCATCGAACAATCAAGCGTTTCATTCAAAATAGTCAACAGGGTCGCAAGAAGCGTGTGGAAAAACCAAGGCGCAAAATAACTGCCCATGAACTGAGAAAAGTCAAGCGTGCAGCTGCCACGATGCCACTTGCCACCAGTTTGGCCATATTTCAGAGCTGCAACATCACTGGAGTGCCCAAAAGCACAAGGTGTGCAATACTCAGAGACATGGCCAAGGTAAGAAAGGCTGAAAGACGACCACCACTGAACAAGACACACAAGCTGAAACGTCAAGACTGGGCCAAGAAATATCTCAAGACTGATTTTTCTAAGGTTTTATGGACTGATGAAATGAGAGTGAGTCTTGATGGGCCAGATGGATGGGCCCGTGGCTGGATTGGTAAAGGGCAGAGAGCTCCAGTCCGACTCAGACGCCAGCAAGGTGGAGGTGGAGTACTGGTTTGGGCTGGTATCATCAAAGATGAGCTTGTGGGGCCTTTTCGGGTTGAGGATGGAGTCAAGCTCAACTCCCAGTCCTACTGCCAGTTCCTGGAAGACACCTTCTTCAAGCAGTGGTACAGGAAGAAGTCTGCATCCTTCAAGAAAAACATGATTTTCATGCAGGACAATGCTCCATCACACGCGTCCAAGTACTCCACAGCGTGGCTGGCAAGAAAGGGTATAAAAGAAGAAAATCTAATGACATGGCCTCCTTGTTCACCTGATCTGAACCCCATTGAGAACCTGTGGTCCATCATCAAATGTGAGATTTACAAGGAGGGAAAACAGTACACCTCTCTGAACAGTGTCTGGGAGGCTGTGGTTGCTGCTGTACGCAATGTTGATGGTGAACAGATCAAAACACTGACAGAATCCATGGATGGCAGGCTTTTGAGTGTCCTTGCAAAGAAAGGTGGCTATATTGGTCACTGATTTGTTTTTGTTTTGTTTTTGAATGTCAGAAATGTATATTTGTGAATGTTGAGATGTTATATTGGTTTCACTGGTAATAATAAATAATTGAAATGGGTATATATTTGTTTTTTGTTAAGTTGCCTAATAATTATGCACAGTAATAGTCACCTGCACACACAGATATCCCCCTAACATAGCTATAACTAAAAACAAACTAAAAACTACTTCCAAAAATATTCAGCTTTGATATTAATGAGTTTTTTGGGTTCATTGAGAACATGGTTGTTGTTCAATAATAAAATTAATCCTCAAAAATACAACTTGCCTAATAATTCTGCACTCCCTGTACAGGTCCAGATACTTTGAAATGAGAATGGACAATGGTAATTTCTCTACAAGCCAGCTGTTTAGGGCAAGGTGAGTGGGGGATCCATCCAGAGCCTCACACTTTGTAGAACATTCCATTCTTCAAAGTGTGACTGAGAAGATCCCAGACTTGTCTGTGGTTCTGTTAGAACATTAACCACTTGCTGTTTGGCACCCAGAGACTTCTATCATGTTAGTTGATGGCACTTTCAATCAACCAGTTTAGCATTTGGAATATGTTACTTCATATACAATTGATTGAGACAATCAGCCAATAGAATGTTACTATTTGTTAAATCATAAGGAATCATATGCGTTTATCAGCATATGGATTATTATAATACAAAGACAAATGTTCAGGATCTTAAAGTACAAGCTTAGCTTTTACTCTTAGTAAGATTTACAATGTGTGGATTGTTTGCTTAATGTAAACACCATTCATTAGACTTAGCTGGACAGTGTTCATTATTTACTCAGATGATCTGTACACAAAGTTCTACGGACAATGTTTTATCAACTAACCACAGAATTTTAACCAGATCAAGTCAGTTCAAGCTTTTAACTCATACAGAATTTTAACTAGCTCACTGATATTTCACAGAGTCATTAATTAGGATTTAACTAAACCTGCAAGAATTTAGTTATTGTATGAATTATTTAAACAGTTTGTATCTGACAAATATTTCCTGGATTGTTTTCTAATTAATATTAATCTGGGTAACTCTTGATATTCTATTTTTATTTCATGATTTTATTTAGCATCCCATCTGCAGATTAAGATACCAATCTTTATCATGAACAATCATGAAACCCAATCTTGGGGATTCAGATCAGCTTTTACCCAGAAAATACTAGCTTTTAGTTATGTAATATAATTGATACAATTGGCTTATATTTACCGATAGAGGTTCTGGATGTTATTTTTAAGATTGTTTCAAGATGTCTTCTAGATTGTCAGATATCAAGGGATTTCAAGAGATCATCTGAGTAGTATGATGTTGATGTGAGATCTGATGTTTGTCCTCTTTATCCCTTTTTGTCTGTCTGTCTATCCCTATGTCATGGGGTTATGTGTCATTTCTTATCTGTTAACCTTCTGACCTGGTCCAATGCAATATTGGGACAAGTCTTTATGTTAATAGCTGTTGATATCATTTTGACATATATCTCTATATGTTTCAAACAGCAGGTAGAGCTGTTGGTTTACGTTAGGAGCATTACCAGCTATTATCATATAGGATTAATTCTTGTTCAGGACAATTTAGGAATGTTTAATTTTAGGATGCTTTAGTCAACATTTCTTCTTTCTA